TGCATTGTAAATTTTGGTCAATGACATGAGACAAAGTATATTATGTGAACTGCTGTATGAAAAAGGAATTTACTCTGTAAATCTTCACCCAAATCAAAATAAAATTAAAATTAAATAAAAAAAAGAGTGTAGAGAAAGGTCTGGTCAGCACAGAAATGAAAGGAAGCCGTGGAGCTGGGTGAGGACCCGTGAGACGGTATTAATAACAACAGTAAAGAATTGGAGACGCCTTTCAATTTTGGGAATGCAAAGTGGGAGAGGTCACGTGTGTGCGGGTGCCACCACGTGACTACTTGGTCTTACAGCCTAGCGCTCAAAGCCATCAGTGCCAGAGGGCGGGACTTGGCCCCTCCCAGTCCAGCCCCTCTGCCTACCCTATCGTTCTCCTCAGTGATTGGACAGATATGCTGTCCGTCAAGGGCCCGCCTCCGAAGGTAGACTAATCAGGGTTGGCGGGAGGATGCTTCCTTCTCAAGCCTAGGGGCCGCTTTGGGAAGGTGAGACTCGAGCGGCGGCGGCAACGGCCACGGCGGCGGCAGTGCGCAGGCGCAGAGCTGACGGGACGGACAGAGTGGTGGCGGTTCAAGCTGGTGGAGGAGGGCCGGAGTCCGAGGTAAGTAAAGGAACAACACAGGATCTCTGTTCTTCCACTCCAGGCCTTGCCCGCACCTGCCCTTCCTGGCTGTGCGGCACTGGCTTAGGTGATGGGGCGGCGAGGAGAAGTGAGGTGAGGTGAGGTGAGGTGAGGGGCGGGCCCAACCCTGCGGTGGCTCCACTAGCGCGCACGCGCCACGTGGGTCCGCGGAGTCGTCGAAGATCTGTCTCTGCGTACTCCGCACTCACACTAGCTCCTGAAGCCCCTTGAGCACCCTTGTGTGCTCGGCGTCTCGACTGGGTTTCCCCATTTTACAGGCTAGAAAACTGAAGCTAAAAGACACCGAGCCGGTGGCCAGTTGGGACGTGGCTGCTCCGGGTTAGAGGGAGACAGGTGGGCTCCGTAGCCCGAGCTCTTATCTGTTAGGCTGTGGTCAGAGACTTGAACTTGGGAACTATTTATTTTTTTAAAAAAGGTAAGAAATTATTTGGGTCTGGGCTGCGGCGACAGCATTGGGTCGGGCACTGCTGCCCTCTTTCTCTGCAGGGCCCGGGACGGCCCCGGACGCCCACTCCGCCCCCTGCCCAACTGCTCCTGCCCAAAGTTCAGTGGGGTGAGCGGAGGAGGGGTTCTTCCTTAGTGTTGGAGCTCCAGCAGACAGACTTAGGGAAGACAGAATCCATTAACTAAAAATGAAAACACGTGGGAAACGCTCCTCCTCCCGAGAAAAGCTAATTATAATAGGGCAACTTTTTTTTTTTTTGTCTAAGGAAAAACACCACTGGAAGCTGCTTGGAAACTGATTTCTTAATGCCTTTGTGGAGGCAGCGTGAACCTTCTGGAAATCAGTTTGGCAATATTGAATCTACACCCTGTGACCTACTGATGATTCCTTATTTGGTAAATAAGTAGGATAAACCTAAAATGCAAAAAAGGTAGCTGCAAAGGGGTATGCACTCTGGTGTTTATAAACAGCCATCGGAAGCGCCTTCCCAGACCCCCACAATTGAGAATAGTTGGGAGATTTCTGCTAAAATGAAGTATTCGCACATTCATTAATTACAATATGGAAAAATGCTCTTAACAGGAAAACCAGACTCAAAATTGTGGTTACAACGATATAAAAGTTTGAATGCTTAGAGGGGTATACATCTAATGATAAAAATGGTAACTCTTTTTTTTTTTTTTGAGCAGAAGGGTCATATTTTGTTTAATCCTCATAAAATCTAGGAGACTAGTATGATTTCCATCCCACTGATGGACAGCTGGAGGTTGGACAAGTGACACAGTGAGTCTGATGCTAGACAGTTAGCACAGCACCTTGTGTGCTGTTGGACCTCTGGAAATGCCACATTTAGCCAGTATTTTAGAGCCTGCTCTGTACCATTCACAGGGCTGGGTGTGAGAGAGCTGCTGGCAAGGCAGCCACAGTTACTGATTCCTGGAAGCTTATAGACTAGTGGGGAGGCAGATATTTAAACAAACATTTGACAGTCTGCAGGGGAGAGCCCAAAGCATGGGAGTGAGACGTCAGGCTCTAGCCAGGGACGAATGTGGGAAGAGGAGCAAAATACAGCGTGAGCTCTGTGGGGATGCCCTCGGTGGCTCTGTAAGAGCAGAAAGTATATAAAAAATTACTGTTTTCCAAATTTTCTAGAATGTATGTATGTATTACAGTGGGGAGTGGGGATACTTATTTCAAATTTAGTCAGCTCTTCTAAACAGTTTACCGTAAATCACTTTGGTTCAAGATACTAATAAATTAAATATTTTTATAAGTGTTTTTTTTTTTTAAATCATGGTTTGGGTGAAAGTTTACGGAACAAATTAGTTTTCCATTCAATAATTTATATGCATTTTGTTTCGTAACGTTAGTTGCAATTCCTTCAGTGCTATAGCACTCTTCATGTTTCCTCCCTAGGTTCCCCATTTCTGTTGGTCCTTTTCTCAAGCCCCTTCCAGGCTTTTGAGCTTTGTTTTGGGGCAGATGCTGCCCTTTTGGTCTGTCTGGTTGATTATCCTGAGGAGTATGTTTCTCATGAGTTTTATTGTTCACTTTGTATAGGCCTGTCCATTGTTTGGCTGCAGGGTGATCCCCAAGGTTGGGTTCAGTTCCAGGTTTGAAGCATCTAAGGGCCACAGTCTCAGTGTCAAGTCAGTATTTTTTTAAGAAATTAAGTTTGAAACTTTCTTAAACTTTAATTTTCAGGTTTTTTAAAAATCCCTTTTGCTGAAAGAACATATTTGCTTGGTATAGTCTCAGAATGTCAAGTACTGTGTCCTCCTGGGTCTTAAATTCTGCAAGAAACAGCATCGCCACATTACGTGGAGGTGGACGTTTATACTCAAGATGTGTCTCAAATAGGAATAAATCAAAATGGAGGCTTTTTACCAGGTCGCCAGCCACCCTGAAAAGCAGTTCCCCTCGTGGTGGCTTTGCCCTGCAGAAAGCTTACAGACACACATCTACAGAAGAAGATGATTTCCACTTGCAGCTGAGTCCAGCACAGGTGAATGAAGTGCTGCGAGCAGGTGAGTCAGCCCACAAGATTCTTGACCTTGACAGCAGAGTCCCAAGTTCAGTGTTGCAGTTTGAGAGCAACCAGCTGGCCGCTAACTCCCCTGTGGAGGACCGCCGAGGGGTGGCCTCCTGCTTGCAGACCAGCGGGTTGATGTTTGGCATCTTTGATGGGCATGGTGGCCACGCATGTGCACAAGCAGTGAGTGAAAGGCTCTTCTACTATGTGGCAGTGTCACTGATGTCCCACCAAACCCTGGAGCGGATGGAGGGAGCGATGGAAAGCATGAAGCCCCTGCTGCCTATCCTTCAGTGGCACAAGCACCCGGGGCACAGTATCTACAAGGATGTCACATCAGTGCACCTTGACCACCTCCGTGTCTACTGGCAAGAGCTGCTTGATCTACACATGGAAATGGGACTGAGCATCGAGGAAGCATTAACGTACTCCTTCCAAAGACTAGATTCTGACATCTCTCTGGAAATCCAGGCCCCCCTGGAAGACGAGGTGACAAGGAACCTTTCACTCCAGGTTGCTTTCTCTGGGGCAACAGCTTGTGTGGTCCATGTCGATGGAGTTCACTTACATGTGGCAAACGCTGGTGACTGCCGTGCCATCCTTGGTGTCCAAGAGGACAGTGGCGTGTGGTCATGTCTGCCACTCACCCGCGATCACAACGCCTGGAACCAGGCTGAGCTGTCGCGGCTTAAGAGGGAGCATCCTGAGTCAGAAGATAGGACAATCATCATGGATGACAGGCTGCTGGGTGTCCTTATGCCCTGTAGGGCCTTTGGGGACGTCCAGCTCAAATGGAGTAAGGAGCTGCAGCGCAGTGTCCTAGCACGGGGCTTCGACACGGAGGCTCTCAACATCTACCAGTTCACACCCCCCAACTATTATACTCCCCCTTACTTGACTGCTGAGCCCGAGGTCACATACCACAGGCTGAGGCCCCAGGATAAGTTCCTCGTGCTGGCCTCTGATGGCCTGTGGGATGTGCTAGACAATGAAGCTGTGGTAAGGCTGGTGGTGGAGCACCTGGACGAGGCAGGTCGGCACAAGCCTGACTTGGCCCAGAGACCCACCAACCTGGGCCTCATGCAGAGCCTGCTGCTGCGGAGGAAAGCCAAGGGGCTGCACACTGCTGACCACAACGCAGCCACACATCTCATCAGACATGCCATCGGGAACAACGAGTACGGGGAGATGGAGCCGGAGCGGCTGACAGCGATGCTAACGTTGCCAGAGGACTTGGCGAGGATGTACAGGGACGACATCACTGTCACCGTGGTGTATTTTAACCCAGACTCAATTGATGCGTATTACAAGGGGGGTTAAGAGTATCCCACCCTACTTCCAAGGTTAACTTAAATGCTTTTCTAAAACACTTTCACTAACTTTTAAACTGGCTATTTAGATCTTATTGCTAAAAGGGCAGGCAGATGTAGCTTGCACAATAATAGGCTAACATGAGGAAAATAACTGAACCCAGGCTTAAAAACAGTGGTGGTTTCATGTCCCTGAATGTTTTGGTCAATCCTCCAGGCTGTGAGGGCAGAGCACAGAGACCGTGGGATTGGCCTGGGGTAACGAAGCCCAAGTCCTTTTATAAAGACACTTTGTTAAAGTGTATTCACCTGAGTAAATTTAATCATGATCCTGAGAATAAAGAACTTCAGGACCTTCTGAGGTCTTGCTGCAAAACGTGCAAACTTAGTGATTCTGCACTCAACAGTCATGGACTTCTAGATTTGAAAGGGAGCTTTTATTGTTTAATTTTTAATTACTAAGGCCTCGGTTTACAAACCATACTACAGGACACTTTTCTATGCAGTATTTAACTTTTTGTGATTACATTTGTGAAAACCTTTTGTAATGCTGCATTTTAGTTGTCTTTATTTTAAAATTGAGCCCTAAAGCTTGCAGACTCCTGCTGATGCCTGCTGTAAGCGTGCTTGGACCGACTTGTCTTGATCGTCACCTGAGGGTGAAGGATGTCTAGGGCTCTGGACCAGCTGGAGTTGCTTGTGCAGCTTTCATCCACTTGGCTGAGTCCCACCCCTTGAGCCTTTGAGCCCTTCTGTGAGGTAACTCATGTCTAAGCCTTAACTCCTGGCCTTTCCTGCATTAGTAAAATTTTCTCCTGGGCTTAGCTTCTGGGAGGTTATTCTTAGCACTTAGCCTTTCTGATTATGCCTCTCAAAAGTTCTTCTGTTAATTCCACCTAACACAATCCTTCTACCTCTGATTAGGCCGATTCCTCTCACCCCATAGCTGCTGACTGCACAATACTGTCTCGAAAGAATCTTTCACAGGTTCCCTTTCCAAACGTTTACTGGGAATGAGAAAATGTGATCACATACAGTAGTTATGGCAGACATGTAGGCAGCACAGGCTAATCCAGTGGACTGTGGGCTTAGGCTTCAGCCTGAGTCTGTAGATGTGAAAACTTGAAGGATGAGAACAGTCATTAATTGAGGCTCTCTGCACTCGGAGAGGGAGGGAGGAGGCTTAGCAGAGGGAACACTGGCCCCTAGACTGTGGGGTGCATCACCACGGTTCCTCTCGCAGGAACTAGACCAGATGTAGTATAGTAACTGGGGCAGAAAATGAAACGTAACCTGCAATGGTTTCTGTGGGCTGTACAGTCATTGCATTTACTCGAAATTGAAGCCATTTAGATACTTTTAGGAGAGACAAATTTCATTTTCTCACGTGATCTGTGGCATTTAAACAACAGGAAATATATCCCTAAATGGAAGCACAAATACCATCCCACAAACTGACAATTTTATTTTCCTGCACAAAATTGGGCAGAATTGTCCAGTGTAGTTGAACCATACGAGTCAGTCACTCTCCTCTGCTCACCCCCTCACGCTCACTACTGAGAAGAAAAGCAAATAACTAGGTTTGGCTTCCTCATTTTTGTCTGTCGCAGCCAACATTGAGCTAAATGTTGGGAAGTTTCTAGCTTGGGGACATTTTCCTGTGTGTTTTCTAATGCAACTACTCACATATGTGGCTTCATCTAAGAAATTCTCTTTTGGGTGCTTAAGCCTTGGTCCTTTTATTCTGGAACCATTAGTGTTCCTTCTGATCTCCTTGATCGTAACTCAGATAAAATGTGAATCATTACCATCCTGCTAGCATGAATTCCATTGCTAGAATTGAAGGTTCCACTTGTCTGACATCTTTTGTTCTTCATACCAGCTAAACCCTGGAGTATCTATCCTTGGAGCCTTTATGGGATTACAGTGTCTGAATCCTGTTTTGGAGCCTAATATGGGTCATAAATCTCTCTGATTCAGTAGCTTCAGGGACAGCTGAGAGAATCCAGACGTTCCACCTGTTTCTCCAAGTGTGTCTGTTTTCACTCTGCCTAATAGATTTCCTGTGTTCCAGTTGATATATTGAGAGAGAAGAAAAGCTAGTTTATTGTCTGCCTTTTCCGGCTGTGAGCTCTGTCAGCTCTTGCCATGACTGCTGCAGGGAACGCCCCCTCCTGGTTAAACCACGATTCTGCTGTCATTGGTCTTCCTGAGGCACGTGGCTTGAGGACCCTGGGATTTGAGAGGGTGTTAGTGGCACTTGTCAGATCTTCCAAAGCATTTATCATTCTTTTTATGTAGAAATATCAATACAGAGACTTTAAACTGAGGTTGAAGATTTAATATTTTAGGTGTAACTTTTGAACAAAATATGCTTTGGTGCTTCAAAATGCATATTTACCATTTTAGGTGGGAAACTTTGGTAATATTGGCATAATGTAGAAGTTGTTTTTTATATAAATAATACAGCTCTAGACCATAGTCGCAGGGGACATCAAGCTCAATTGGCGTAATGTACTACACAAAAGCATTGTTCCACATCCTACTTTGGCGAGTAGCAACTGGGATCTTAAAAGCTTGCAAGTGGCCATCTAGATGTAATGATGGGTCTCTCCTTGTCCAAAGCAAAGAAGAGTGAAGAAAACCAAAGATGCATGGAAACAATTAGTCCAAGGGACTGATACACCATGTGATCCTCAGGCTATGTGACCATGAGACCAGAAGAACTAGATGGTGCCTGGCTACCACTGTCAACCACTCGGAGAGGGATCTGTGTAGAAGATCCTGGATAGAGTGGGAGAACAGTGTGGAACAAAACTCAAAATCATTGAAAAAAAAAAAGACCAGGTTTGCTGGTCTGATAGAGCCTGGTGGAACCACTGAGACTATGGCCCCTAGATGCCCTTCAGGTCTGGAATTGAACCCACTCCTGTGGCTTCCACCCAAACAAAAAACAGGCATATGAGCTGAACATTTACAGTAGGTAGATACACTCCTGGGAGAGATCAATCATGGGAGAATAGAAGAGCTCTGTATGCACAGGGAGAGAGCTTGGAGGGGCAGGAGTGCATAGGAGGGAAGGACACAGGAAAAGGGTAACTGTGGGGAGGAAGCAGGAGGGGAGCTGTTGCATTGTGGTAAATTGTAGTTAATGTCATGAGACAGTGTATGTGAGCTGCTGTATGGAAGGTGAATTTGCTCTGTAAACTTTCATCTAAATCACAATAAAAATTTTTAAAAAAACAACCCAATATAATACAGCTCTCCTGATTCTGGGGATTGATCATAATGGATAGAGAAGATGTTATTCTCAATTCAAAGTAATATGCTAGATCGAGATACTTTGATTCACCTTCCTGAGATGTTATTTGTAACATTAAATCTAATGTATTATAATGAAAATGTAAACTTGGAGAGATGTTAATGTATAAACATGGTTTTCCCAGAAGTGCGATTGGCCCAAAAGCTCTTCTCTTGGGCACATTGGATAAAGTTCTGTTTAGACACAATTGAGTTGGTACTTTTTATGCATAAATGAAGTAGAAGCAGCTCAAACTTGAGTTAAAGATCAGTATCATTAATTGTATGGAACAAACAAATGTGTTCAGAATACATCCGGGTTGATTCTCAGGTTCGTACCTGATGACTTGTCTTCCTCTGACAGCTTTTGGGAAGCTGAACTTCCCAGGTGAAACCAGAGTGGCCTGGAACTGGCCCTGTCCTACTTTTGTGTTGAAGTCGTTCATTTGTCTCCAAATGTGACTTTTCCCCGTGGCAGAAAAAGCCCTGAGGTAGCTCTGGGCCTAGGGTATCAAGGCTGGTGTTACCACATGTGACACAGCTGCTGTGTGCATCACTTGAGTGAAAAACATGCTTTGAAGGAGACGAGGCTCAGTCCCTTACACCTCGGGCACCTGCCATTTAACTTGCCTCCTAGAAAATACCTTCTTATCAAGCATCTACTTGGAAAAATGATTAACCATGTTCTGTAATCATCACTGACATTTGTATTTTAAGCTGTGTACCAGTGTTTCTGTTTGACACTGATTTTCTAACCATTAGAAATATTTAAATGAAACTTGTAAATAAAAGGAGCAAAACGAAGTTTGGTTTCTTTTGGTCTGAATAGTAATATTTTCAGTCCTTAGGATACTAGTGTTTCACCACCTACCTGTATGTGACCCTGGAAGATGTTAGCCTGTTCGGGAGTCCACCCCAAAGAGAAGTTCGGTGTTCTGCAAGTCTTTGGTGGCTGCTGACTGGACAGGAAGTCCTCATATAGGTTAACTATGTATATGGACTGGGAAAGAAGGAAAGGGAGATGAAGTCTCTGTGCCTAGGCGTACAGGGTTCTACTGTTAGTTAAGCTTTTCAAACCAATTTGTACCCACCAGCTTCTGTATCAGTGTTAAATGCAGAAGCCAGCTTTGGGGAAAGGACTAGACAGCTGCCTAGATGGAGCTGAGAGCAGGGGAGGTAGCCCCTCACTCCACATTCCCCGCCCCAGCGGAGTGAGTGAGTTACAAGGACTCCTCCAATGAGTACTTCCTAAAATGAAAATAGTTGAGTCATTAATACTTACGTGTAAATTAGAGGCGATAGATGAGCTTTCACTGGGCAGGGTGGTTAAACTGGGCCTGGAGGAGCGTTTTGGGGAGGGGAAGGTAGAGAGGGGGAGTGTTTGGAGTCTGATAAGGATAACTGGAGGAGCTAGTGCCTTCCTAAAACAGGCTCTGAGGCTGGGGAACATGCCCCAGACACCTCAGTAGGGCCATATTTTAAACCAAGCCCTAGCCCACACACTTGTCCCAATACTGAGCTTTCAGACGAAGATAATGCCCAAAAAATCTCCCATTACACAATTTTGCCCCTGAGGCTTTGGGCAGAGAGGGAGGTAGTGATGAAAGGAAGTTAGAAAGCAGTTTTTTGTCATTAAACTAAAACCAAACTCACTGCCTTCAGGTCCTATCTGACTCAGAGTGACCCCTCCTTGGATTTCTGAGGCGGTGT